GTTACAGACAGCGGCCCCCTGCGCCGGGGCGATCCGGTTACAGGCACCTGATTACAGGCGCCCCGGGTGACAAGGTTACAAGCAACTGGCTACAAGCATGTGCTCCGTGTGTGCAGGGTGATACGGTTACCGCCACCCAATTACAGGCACCCGCTCCATGCCCAGATGACAGGGTTACAGGCATCCAGTTACAGGCATCTGTCTGCTACATGTATCCAGCTACAGGCACCTGCTCCGGCTGCCCAGGGTGACAGGGCTACACCTGCTCCATGTGCCAGGGGTGACACAGGCACCTTGTTACAGGTACCCGCTCTTGCCCCCATGGTGACAGGGCTACAGGTGGCCAACTAGACATCTATTCCATGCACCAGGGGTGACACAGGCGCCTGGTTACAGGTACCAGCTCTTGCCCCCCGGGTGACAAGGCTACAGTCGGCCAATTAGACACCTGCTCCACGTGCTGGGGGTGACACAGGCACCTGCTTACAGCTACCCACTCTTGCCCCCAGGGTGACAGGGCTACAGGCGACCAACTAGACACCTGCTCCACGCGCTGGGGGTGACACAGGCGCCTGGTTACAGGTACCCGCTCTTGTCCCCATGGTGACAGGGCTACAGGAGACCAATTAGACACCTGCCCCACACACTGGGTGACACAGGCGCCTGGTTACAGGTACTCGCACCCGGGATGACAGGGCTACAGGCGGCCAACTAGACACCTGCTGTACGCGCTGGGGGTGACAAAGGCGCCTCGTTACAGGTACCCACTCTTGCCCTCATGGTGACAGGGCTAGAGGCGGCCAACTAGACATCTACTCCACGCGCTGGGTGACACAGGGACCTGGTTACAGGTACCACTCTTGCCCCCAGGGCGACAGGGCTACAGGCGACCAATTAGACACCTGCTCCAGACGCTGGGGGTGACACAGGGACCTGGTTACAGGTACCAGCTCTTGCCCTCATGGTGACAGGCTACAGGCGGCCAATTAGACACCTGCTCCACATGCTGGGTGACACAGACGCCTGGTTACAGGTACTCACACCCGGGATGACAGGGCTACAGGCGGCCAACTAGACACCTGCTCCACGCGCTGGGAGTGACACAGGCACCTTGTTACAGGTATCAGCTCTTGCCCCCACGGTGACAGGGCTACAGGTGGCCAACTTTACACCTATTCCATAGAGCGGGGGTCACACAGGTGCCTGATTACAGGTACTCGCACCCGGGATGACAGGGCTACAGGCGGCCAACTCAACACCCGCTCCACGCGCTGGGGGTGACACAGGCGCCGTCTGGGCCCACGGTGAAGCAGCGGCCGGCGCCGCGGGGCACGG